ATTGGTATGACAATTTTTTCCAAAGTCAGAAACAGAAATATCATTTGATCCAGGAATCCCATTACTGGGTATTTATCTTAAAGAAGTAAGAGCCAGGACACGAACGCATATACACACACCCCTGTTCATAGCACCACTATTCACAATAGCAAACAGATGTAAACAACCTAAGAGCCCATCAACAGAAGAATGGATAAACAAACTATCATATATAGAATAATGTAGAATCTTCAAAACACTGTGTAACATGGACTAACTTGGAGGACATCGTGTTGAGTGAAGTAAGTCAATCACAGAAGGACAAATACTGTATTAGTTAACTATTGTAAAAAGTAAAGGAAAGTTTTATATATGGAAGGAAACTTTGTTGGTTACCAGGGATGGAAGCCCAAACCGGATGTCAGGAGAGACTCTGAAACTTGCCTTAAATGCAGAGTAGCTAAAGCAAATGGAAGAAATGATAAGATAAAAGAGCTGAACAGAAGATTTCAAAGAGCAGCCTGAGAAGACAAAGTCAATTATTATAATGAAATGCGCAAAGATCTGGAGTTAGAAAACCAAAAGGGAAGAACACACTCAGCATTTCTCAAGCTGAAAGAACTGAAGAAAAAAATTTAAGCCTCAAGTTGTAACACTAAAAGATTCTATGGGCAAAATACTGAATGATGCAGGAAGCATCAAAAGAAAATGGAAGGAATACAGAGTCACAGTATCAAAAAGAACTGGTCGATGTTCATCCATTTCAGGAGGTTGCATATGATCAAGAACCAATGATATTCAAGGAAGTAGTCAAAGCTGCACTGAAGGAATTGCCGAAGAACAAGTCTCCAGGAATTGATAGGGTACCCACTGAGACGTTTCAACAAATGGATGCCGCACTAGAGGCACTCATGTGGCTATGCCAGGAGATTTGGAAGACAGCTACCTGGCTAACTGACTGCAAGAGATCCATATTCCAAAGAAAGGTGAACCCACAGAATGTGGAAATTATCGAACAGTATCATTAATATAGCAAGCAGGTAAAATCTTGCTGAAGATAATTCAAAAATTGTTGCAGCAGTATACTGACAGAGAACTTTCAGAAATGCAAGCTGGATTCAGAAGAGGACATGGAATGAGGGATATCATTGCTGACATCAGATGGATCTTGGCTGAAAGCAAAGAATACCAGAAAGATGTTTACTTGTGTTTTATTGACTATGCAAAAGCATTTGATTGTATGGATCATGACAAATTGTGGATAACATTGAGAAGAACGGGAATTCCCGAAACTTAATTGTACTCATGAGGAACCTGTACATAGACCAGGAGGCTGTCACTGGAACAGAACAAGGGGACACTGCATGGTTTAAAATCGAGAAGGGAGTGAGTCAGGGTTGTATCCTTTCATCGTACTTATTCAATCTGTATGCTGAGCAAATAATCCAAGAAGCTGGACTATATGAAGAACATGGCATCAGGTTTGGAGGAAGAATCATTAACAACCTGCGATATGATCACAACACAACTTTGTTTGCAGAGGGTGAGGATGACTTGAAGCACTTAATGATGAAGACTGAAGACTGCAGTCTGCAGTATGGATTCTACCTCAATATAAAGAAACCAAAATCCTCACAACTGGACCAATAAGCAGCATTACGATAAATGGAGAAAAGACTGAAGTTGTCAGAGACTTCACATTGCTTGGTTCTACAACCAATACCAATGGAAGCAGCAGTCAAGATATCAGAAGACATAAAGCACTGGGCAAATCGGCTGCAAAAGACCTCTTTCAAGGGCTGAAAAGCAAAGACGTCTCCTTGAGGACTAAGGTGCGCCTGCCAGAAGCCATGGTGTTTTCAATCGCCTCATATGCATGTGAGAGCTGGACAATGAATAAAGAAGACCAAAGAACTGATGCTTTTGAGAGGTGATGCTGCAGAAGAATGCTGGAAGTGTCATGGACGGCTAAAAGAACGAACAGATCTGTCCTGGAGTGCAGCCGGAATGCTCCTCGAAAGTGAGAATGGCCAGACTTCGTCTCACCTACTTTGGTCATGTTGTCAGAAGGGACCATTCCCTGGAGAAGTAGATCACGTTTGGTAAAGTGGAGGGTCAACAAAAGAGGGGAAGACCCTCAACACGATGGCCTGACACAGGCTACAATCATGGGCTCAGGTATAGCAGAGATTGTGGAGCAGGCGCAGGACTGGGTGGTGTTTCGTTCTGCTGTGCATAGGGTCACTATGAGTCGGAGACAATTTGAAGCACCTAACAACAGCAACTAACAGGGATGGGAGGGGAGAGAAGGGAACACTGGTAAATACTGATTTGGGTGAAGGGAAAGGCAATATACCAAAAGTGAGTGACCAACACAGTAACAGTAAGGAAAAGGAAGACAAGGAGAGGTGCACAAGAGGTACAGAGAACAAAGATAACCATTTTACATACACAATACTGCATTCTCAGTGATGGCAAACATGGATCTATGAGTAAACAGATGGATAGGCTGAATAGTCATGTATTTCTAGGCAAAAGGGAATATACCCATGACCATATAAAAGGTCGTCATATGCTATTTCTACATACGTATTTGTATGTGTTATAAGAATTTGCACATATCTAGAACTAACAGGGGGCAAAGTTATGATAACTTCTTAGGAACAGTCAACCACCCTGATGGAGTGAGTTGTTGGACCTGGGGGCCCAGGACCATGGTCATAGGGAACCTCAAGCTCAACTGGCGTTAACATACTACACAAAAACATTGTTCTACACCCTACTTTAGTGAGTAGTGACTGGGGTCTTAAAAGCCTGCAAGCAGCTATCTAGATGGGTTTCTCCTCATCCACAGCAAGGAAGAACAAAGAAAACCAAAGACGCACGGAAATGATCAGTACAAGGGAGTAGGACACCATGCGACCCTCAGCCTAGATGACCATGAGACCAGAAGAACTAGAGGGTGCCCAGCTACCACTGTCAGCCACTAGGAGGGGGATCAGTAAGGGAGATCCTGGGTAGAGTGGAAGAACAATGTGGAACAAAACTCAAAACCATTACAGGAAAAAAAAAAAACACCCAGGTTTACTGATCTGATAGAGCCTAGTGAGCCTTCCAAGGCTATGGCCCCTCATTACATTTCAGGTCTGGAGCTGAACTCACTCCCGTGGCCTCCAGCCAAACAAAAGACAGGCATATGGGGTGAACATTTCCATCAGGTAGATACATACACTCCTTGGAGCGATCCATCATGGGAGAACAGAAGGGCAGTGTTTGCACAGGGAGACAGCTCAGGAGACAGGAGTGCATGGGAGGGAAGGACACAGGGAAGAGGTAACTACAGGGAGGAAGTGGGAGGGGAGCTGTTATATTCTGGGGAATTGTAGTCAATATCATGAAACAAAATGAGTATGAACTACTGTACGGAAAATTAATTTGCTCTGTAAACTTTTATCCAAATCATAATAAAAAATTTTTAAAAAGCTTGCAAGTGGCCATCCAGATGCAATGATGACGGGGCTCTCCTTGTCCAGAGCAAAGAAGAATGAGGAAATCACAGATGAATGGAAACAATTAGTTTAAGAGACTGGTGCACCATGCAATCTTCAGCCTATACAACTTTGAGACCAGAAGAACTAGATGGTGCCTGGCTACCACTGTCAACCATTCAGAACAGGATCAGTGCAGGAGCTCCTAGATACAGTGGGAAAACAATGTAGACCAAAACTCAAAATCATAAAAAAAGATCAGATTTATTGGTATGGTAGAGCCTGGTAACACCCCGGAGACTATGGCCCCTAGTTACCATTCAGGTCTGGAACTGAACTCACTCCCACAGCCTCCAGCCAAACAACAGACAGGCATATAAGGCAAACACTTAAACCATGCAGATACACTCCTTGGAACAATCAAGCATGGGAGAACAGAAGGGTAGTATTTGCACAGCTGGGGGGTGCGTGCAGGAATGCATAGGAGAGAAGGACATAGGGAAGAGGTAACTACAGGGAGGAAGTGGGAAGAGAGCTGTTACTTTGTGGGGAACTGCAGTCAATGTCGTGAAACAAAATATGAATGAAGTGCTGTAGGGAAAAGGAATTTGCTCTGTAAAGTTTCACCCAAATCACAGCAAAAATTAAAAAAAAAAAAAAGGACATCCCCTAAAGGGTTCCCTACAATCTCAGAAGGGACCTCGCCTAAGCACGTCTCACTAACCCTTGTGTAGCCAAATTGAGAAGAATTAACTCTTAAATCCAGCTGTCACAACAAAAGAAAGTCAAATCTTCTGCTTCAACCACCCACCCCACAGGAGGAAACACAGGAATCAGCTTTGAGCTGGTCCTTGTCACCAACCTGCCTGAAGTCAGACAGGTGCTGATACCTCACTCCAACCCTTTCACACATCTGCAGACCACTCTCATCTCCAGCAGGACCTGCGGGCAGTCCTTGCGCCTGGCCAGTGGCAGGTACCCTCCTGCTGTGATGGTGACTATAGTGTTACCAGCTCTTGAGCTCTGAGGACATGATACAAGCCAAACCTACAAGGAGCACCCTGCACACCCAGTGATAAGCCAGGGTCCACATGCAAGGCCACTCGGCAGCACTGGACACACATGCTATCAGCCAGGACGGGGTGCCTGTCACTCCTCAGCAGCCTCCCTGCAAAAGCAGCAGAATGACTGCCCCTGCGGTGGGGAGCACCCCTGACTGAGAAGCCACACAAAGGCCAGTCACAAGCAGCAGTCACTGGGCATGGTAACAATCAATCAATAGTTTTGGCTATTCTCATTGTTATCAACAGCATCATTCAAAAAAGCTCACAAGGTTGACTTCGATGAACGCCTTACGAGAAGACACACACTTCCCTAACGAAAATAAACTCATCTAATAATTCAAGAGAAATTAAATATGAAAACACCCAGGGACTTTACCCAGAAGGGCCCTGGCTGCCGACATGCAGAATGTGTTCCGAGCCTGCCATATTTTCCCCACACTGCACTTCACCCTGGCCAGCCACGTCCTACCTTGTGGGCCCGGTCGCTCCCTGACACGCTCTCTTTGGAAGTCCGGCTGTCCTCCGTGGGAAACGCCGCTGTCTGCTCTGCCCCATGCTCGTCGTCCTCACCCAGCTCCTCTGAATCGTCCTCTTCTGAGTCTGTCTCCAGACTCTCCCCGTTCACATGCAGGGCACTGTCGCCCAGGTCCTTCTCACCCTGAGTAGGGGCCGGTGGGTACACAAAGCAGAACCACTCAGCATCACGACCGCACCCTGGAAGGAGGGCTGCAGCCCACGGCCCCACAGCACACGGGGAAGGCCTGTGAGAGGCGAGGAGCGAGCAAAGAGAACAGGGCAGGACAAGGTGGAGGTCCAGGGACCCACCTGAACGTGGGCATGTGTCTTGCAGAGCAGAGGGGCTCTAGAGTTTGATATGGACCAAAAGCATCAAGTTACCGATGACCTCACAAGACAGGGATCAAAGTTGTCCAGGTTACTGACGACCTCACTGGATAGGGACTGGTTCATCCAGGTTACTGATGACCTCACTGGAGAGGGACAGGGTCATCCAGGTTACTGATGACCTCACACGATAGGAACTGAGGACTTCTACGTTACTGATGACCTCACTGGATAGGGACAGGGTCATTCAGGTTACTGATGACCTCACACGATAGGAACTAAGGACTTCTACATTACTGATGACCTCACTGGATAGGGACAGGGTCATCCAGGTTACTGATGACCTCACTGGATAGGGATAGGGTCATCCAGGTTACTGATGACCTCCCTGGATAGGAATAGGGTCATCCAGGTTACTGATGACCTCACACAGTAAGAACTAAGGTCTTCCAGGTTACTGATGACCTCCCTGGATAGGGACGGGGTCATCCGGGTAACTGATGACCTCCCTGGATAGGGACGGGGTCATCCGGGTTACTGATGACCTCACTGGATAGGGACGGGGTCATCCGGGTTACTGATGACCTCACACAATAGGGACGGGGTCATCCGGGTTACTGATGACTTCCCTGGATAGGGACGAGGTCATCCGGGTTACTGATGACCTCACACGATAGGAACTGAGGACTTCTAGGTTACTGATGACCTCCCTGGATAGGAACGGGGTCATCCAGGTTACTGATGACCTCCCTGGATAGGGACGGGGCCATCTGGGTTACTGATGACCTCCCTGAATAGGGACGGGGTCATCCGGGTTACTGATGACCTCCCTGGATAGGGACGGGGTCATCCGGGTTACTGATGACCTCCCTGGATAGGGAC